CTCTGTCTTCTGCTTCGTTTTATCTTTATTCTCTTTCCCCCGTTCTCTTCTGCCCTCACCCCAGTCTTATTCTTTTTGCTCTCTCGCTCTTCTTCCCCTCTCTTTCTCTTACTAAGTCTTACTTCTGTCTTTTTCTCTTTTCTCTCTCTGCTCTAGCATTACCACATTCTCTTTTTTTATTTTTACCCTTGTTCTGTTTCCTTTCTGTTTTCTCTGCCTTTTTCATTCTCTTCTACTCTACTTTTTTTTTCTTTTATACCTCTCTCTCTCTCTCTCTCTCTCTCTCTCTCTCTCTCTCTCTCTCTCTCTCTCTCTCTCTCTCTCTCTCTCTCTCTCTCTCTCTCTTCTCTCTCTCTCTCTCTCTCTCTCTCTCTCTCTCTCTCTCTCTCTTTCTCCGTATAAGAATCTAAGTATCTCAGGTTCTGTGCATGGATTGTCTGCTTTTAGTTTGCACAGTTACCTTCGGCACGCTTAAAAGGAAGGGTAGGGAAAGCAGTGTAATTATTATGTCAAAATGTTATGGAATACCCTAGGTCTGTATATACTATAATGGCAGTAAGATAAGTAAGGATAATGGTAAAGGGTATACTGGTGTAAACAAGAAGTAAGACCAGCCACTAAATAACTGAAGTAAAATCGGAAATAGATCTCATCTCACTCTGGTAAAGCATCATTCCACTCGATTACTAGTTGACTAAAATATATAGCGTAGAATATATTTCCATATGATCACACTTTGATATGAGTTTAGGGACTAGTGTTAGCAAAATACTTTATTTTTGAATGATTTCAAACTTATATATTCAGGAGGATAAAGACACTGACATGTGTGCAAGGAATCATATATGTTATTAGAAAGTCAAGGCAAGAGATATTTTAACATGTAGAACCTAATTTTTATTCAGATAGATAGGTTTTATTTGTCACATCCTTTGGGGAAAATAATACATGACAAATTTTTAAAAGGCAAAATAGAATATTACGGAAACTACTGAAAACAGTGAAATCGTCACCTTATAGAAAAAAATCCATTTACATCCAAAAATTAATTAGTTTTCCTTTTTTGTCCAATATTACAATACCTATAGTAGAGAAATTACCAATAGCCGATACATACATTCTTTCTGAGACCTAATGTCTTTGCAAAAGGGAATCACATCCAGTGTGTGAATTCTCCGCTTTGCCCCTTCATAAGCTAGTTAGGCAGAAGAGAAAGATGACCTAATATGTGTAAGGACCTATTTGAGAAATAGTCAACAGAAAAGATGCTGTTGTTTACAAGGAAATCAGGAGCGGAATTCACGACCATCTTGAAAATTCCTTTTAATGTTGCTTAACAATACTACCCGCTACGAGAATAATAACATCGTAGCAAATCAAAATAGTATCATAAGTACAACAGTGGGGTTGGGAATGCACCGTGACAACATATATGAAAAGCGGTTAATTTTGGATCAGCGTGAAGGGCAAGCTGAAGAGGAAACGAGAGGGACAGACTAATTGGAACGCTGATCAGTTTCTTGTCGTAGCCTCTCCTTGGTAGAAGAGAGCAAGCACATTATCAAACAAATGCCTAGAATATTCTCATGACGCGTGTTAAACAGAAAGAAAATTCATGACAACGCAAAACATCTGACAACACGTGAGAATATACACACAGCATAAAAACAGAATAAGAAATTAATATCATCACATTCCGTAAACTGACTCAGCCCTTGCAAAATGACTGCAGATGGCAATAAGAGCTCAGTATAACGGTCGGTGCCTATTAGGGAGGTCATACACATGGACAGCAGCGCTAGGCTCGTGCAAGTTCATTTTTACAGCGCTATGGGAAGACGTTATTACGAACAATTGGTAAGTAACAATTACGAAATTAAGATTATATTTAGCACGGGGAATGACAGTTAGGAGAAAAGGGAAGAATCAGGACTGTGAATGCAGGCTGTGGTCACTGATGCTGAGGATTTCGTGATTCATGTGAATGAGTGTGGATGTGTATCTCATGGTTACTCAGCATATGAAATGTAGTAGAACAAGGATTGTGCTTTCTGTCTCCACTCTCTTTATCTCTATCCCTCCCTCCCTCTCTCTCTCTCTTTCTCTCCCCCCCCCTCTCTCTCTCCCTCTCTTCCTCCCTCTCCCTCTCCCTCCCTCTCTCCTTCTCTCCCTCTCCCTATCCCTCTTTCTCTCCCTCTCTCTCTCTCCCTCTCCCTCTCCCTCTCTCTCACTGTGGCTCACACACGCTAACTGGAAAATCGCACAGTCAGACGTCTTGGGAAATGAACATAGTAACCCTTTCTCAAACCGAAATCACTCACTAGGTCTCTCTCCCTCTCTCTCTCTCTCTCTCTCTCTCTCTCTCTCTCTCTCTCTCTCTCTCTCTCTCTCTCTCTCTCTCTCTCTCTCCTCTCTCTCTCTCTCTCTCTCTAGTCCTCTCTCTCTCTCTCTCTCTCTCTCTCTCTCTCTCTCTCTCTCTCCTCTCTCTCTCTCTCTCTCTCTCTCTCTCTCTCTCTCTCTCTCTCTCTCTCTCTCTTTCCCTTTCTCTCCCCGCTCTCTCTCTCTCTCTCTCCCTCTCTCCCTTTCTCTCCCCCCCTCTCTCTCACTCCCCCTCTCCCTCCCTCCCTCTCTCCCTCCCTCCCTCCCTCCCTCTCCCTATCCCTCTCCCTCTCCCTCTCCCTCTCCCTCTCCCTCTCCCTCTCTCTCTCCCTCTCCCTCTCCCTCTCCCTCTCCCTCTCCCTCTCTCTCTCTCTCTCTCTCTCTCTCTCTCTCTCTCTCTCTCTCTCTCTCTCTCTCACTGTGGCTCACACACGCTAACTGGAAAATCGCACAGTCAGACGTCTTGGGAAATGAACAGAGAAACCCTTTCTCAAACCGAAATCCGTTGATCTTTACGGTGTAGGTATATTGAGTAACATGCAGTAGTCTGAAAGATAAACGAAAGGGAATTATCGTTTACGAGTGTTATATGTATACATTTTTTCCCGTTTAATCACGCAAATTCACCCGGTCTTAACAGTGCTCAATGTTATTACAAACGCAACTTTCGTCCAGTTTTAAGGATTTTGATTTAGTGATGGCCGATCTAATAATAGTGACGTCACTTGATCGCAGTGACGGATCTCAAGGGGGGGAAGGGAACAGCTACTTTCTGTTTGGTTTACTCCTAACTACCCTCCTAACACATTATTTTATAATCATATAACTATAAAGCACAAATAGCCATTATGTCCAAAAGTTGTTTTGATTATTAAAACAACTGATCAGTAGAGTTACAGCTATGAAAACTGGTGTCTAAATGCCGAAAAAGAATAATACTCGCGGACCAATATATTTTGCCCCCACCTCCCTTGTAAATGTTTCTACCGCCTATGGTCGATAGCTCTAAATTCTATCTCCCTTTTACTATGATGAAAGGAGAGAGGGGGCGAAAATCTCTGAATGTCAAAGATAATGATTCTTTAAACCTCATCCTTATAATAATGGGAGAACTGGGAAAAGGGTCAGCATTACTGAACAAATCGTGTGATTTGGGAAGAATATTTTGTTTTAAAAGTAATTATTGCGTTTTTTACCTATTTGATTAACCCTCTCTCCCTTTCTTCTGCTCCTTTTTTGTTCCCTTTATACCCCATATGTTCTCTCTTTTCTCTCAACCCCATTCAGTTTTCACCTTCATTTTTCCTATGCAAATCTTCCTTCTGTTATGTTCTGATCTAGTCTGTCTGTCTGTCTGTCTGTCTGTCTGTCTATCTGTCTTTCTGTCTATCTGTCTATCTGTATCTGTCTATCTGTCTCTCTGTCTCTCTGTCTGTCTCTGTCTGTCTCTCTCTCTCTCTCTCTCTCTCTCTCTCTCTCTCTCTCTCTCTCTCTCTCTCTCTCTCTCTCTCTCTCTCTCTCTCTCTCTCGTCTCTCTCTGTCTCTCTCTGTCTCTCTCTGTCTCTCTCTGTCTGTCTGTCTGTCTTCTCTCTCTCTCTCTCTCTCTCGCTCTCTCTCTCTCTCTCTCTCTCTCTCTCTCTCTCTCTCTCTCTCTCTCTCCTCTTCTCTCTCTCTCTCTCTCTCTCTCTCTCTCTCTCTCTTCTCTCTCTCTCTCTCTCTCTCTCTCTCTCTCTCTCTCTCTCTCTCTCTCTCTTCTCTCTCTCTCTCTCTCTCTCTCTCTCTCTCTCTCTCTCTCTCTCTCTCTCTCTCTCTCTCTCTCTCCTCTCTCTCTCTCTTCTCTCTCTCTCTCTCTCTCTCTCTCTCTCTCTCTCTCTCTCTCTCTCTCTCTCTCTCTCTCTCTCTCTCTCCTCTTCTCTCTCTCCAGTCTCTCTCTCTCTCTCTCTCTCTCTCTCTCTCTCTCTCTCTCTCTCTCTCTCTCTCTCTCTCTCTCTCTCTCTCTCTCTCTCTCTCTCTCTCCCTCCCTCTTTCTCTCTCCCCAAGTCTCTCTCTCTCTCTCTCTCTCTCTCTCTCTCTCTCTCTCTCTCTCTCTCTCTCTCTCCTCTCTCTCTCTCTCTCTCTCTCTCTCTCTCTCTCCAAGCCTTCCCTCTTCCCCCTACCTTCCCCTCCTCACTCCCTCCCTTCCCCCTCCTCACTCCCTCCCCTTCCCTCCTCCCCGACCTTCCCCTCTTCACTCCCTCCCCTCGCCTCTTCCCCTTCCCCTCCTCCCCCTCCCTTTCCCTCCCCTCTTCCCCCGTCCCTCCCCCTCCGTAATCCCTCCCCTCCCCCTCCTCACTCCCACCTCCCCCGTCCTCCCCCTCCCCTTCTCCTCTTCCCCCGTCCTCCCCCTCCTTAATCCCTCCCCCCCTCCCCTCCTCCTCCTCACTCCCTCCCCTTCCTCTCCCCCGTCCCTCCTCCTCCTCACTCCCTCCCCTCCCCTCCTCCCCCGCCCCTCCCCTCCCCTCCCCTCTTCCCCCGTCCTCCCCCTCCTTAATCCCTCCTCCTCCTCACTCCCTCCCCTCCCCTCCTCCCCCTTCCTCCTCCTCCTCACTCCCTCCCCTTCCCCTCCTCCCCCGTCCCTCCCCGAGCACGAGTTGCACAACAATTTCTCCAGCTCCACGCACGACGTCCTCTCCATCCTCCTCTCTCCCTCCTCCTCCTCCCTCTTCTTGTAAATATTTATCGCTCTCACAACACCAAGGCCGAAGGAGGAATAAG